AAGATTAATAAAAAAATAATATATTAGTAAAATTTTAAGCAACAATAATAATGCAATGCTGTAATGCATATTTGAAAATTTACATAATAAATTTTTAATTTTTAAAAAATTAAAATTATTAAGAATACAAAAAAAAAAGAAAAACATGGTAAGTAGAAAATAAAATTATATAACAAAAAAGAAAAAAGAAGAATATAGTTGATGATTCATAGAAATTTTAAAAAAAAATTTATAAAAACTTAAAACACATAATCAAATAGAGTAAAGTTGAAAAATAAATAAATAATAATAATATAAATAAAAAAATAATTTTTTTTCTTTTTTATAATTTTACAATAAAAGGACAAAAGAAAAGAGAAAGAGAAAAAGAAAGAGAGGAAAGAAGTATAAAGAAACTGAAAAAGGAAAAATTTAAGAGTTAGGATAAAGTTAAATGGATTTACAAGGTTATTTTATTATTTTTTATTTGTATTAATAATATAATAAAAAATTATTTTAGGAGCTCATTAAAATATATATAACATATTATATTAATAATTTAATAAAAAATCATTTTAAGGGTTTATTAAAAAATATATGTAATATATACAAATTTTTAAAATTTTTTAAGGGATTGTGGAGGGACGCTTCGTCTCTTGATCACTAGTTATTTTTAAAATCATATAGTGGGTGAAATTATCATATAACTATGTCAAAATATCTATCAACATATTATGTCTATATCTTTTATGTCACGTTAAAATATCATATTAATAACACATGATATAAAATAACTTAATTATATGAATTTATTTGATTGAAAATAAAAATATGAAAAATTATTGCACATAATAAAAATATAATAATTTATTAAATTTTTTAAGAAATGTTTGTGAGTTTTTTTTTTTGCATAATGTTCAAATAAGTTTTTAAACTATTTAAGAATATTCAAATAAGCCTTTATTCTTTTATTGCATTCAATTAAACTTTTAGATTTTTATTTTGAATTAAATAACCTTTTATAACAATGATTGATTAATTATCTTTAGTAAAAGTAACACTTGTTACTTGATATCTACATGGCACTGACATGATATTAATATGAAAGATAAAAAATGTCACATAATCATGTTATCATAACAAATTAGCATGTTATGTCATCATCAATAATGATATGTTAGCATGATATTATGATATGTTAGCATAACATATCATTATCAATTATGATAGTTTAGTAATTCTACATCAATATCACACTATATAAAATAACCAATAACATTTTTATTAACTCAATCATTAGTTATAAAGTTTTATTTGACTCAAAATAAAAGAATAAGAACTTATTTGACTCAAAATAAAAATATAAAAATTTTGATTGAATGTAATAAAAAATATAAGGATTTGTTTGAATTTTTCTAAATAGTTTAGTTACTTATTTATATATTATGCCTTTTTTTTAATATTAAGCTTTTTGGAAAGGACATTCAACCTTAGAGTTTAAAAATTTATTTTAAAAGTGAGAGTACTATAAAGGAATCGGAATGTATATATGTTATAATTTCGTAATTATTTTTATAAGGTGTATAAACTTAAATATGAAAAAGAAGATAATCAACACGATAGGTATCAAAATCCAATTACAAAAAATTATAAGACTAATGACTGTAATAAATTAAAGTTGATAAGAAAAAAAACAAAAAGTAATTATTTGGATAGATCCAAAAATGACAAAAAGCTTCCCTTATTAGAATCACCTGATTGGTTCACTTGAGACCTACCTCGGCTTAATTGGAATGGATTTTAAAAAGTCAAATTGACTAGATTGGTCCAATATAAAATTTCAGTACCGAATTCTTAAATATTGAATTTTTATTGTAAAAGTCATTTAATACATCGTTCAAAATAAATATTTAATAATTCTTGATTTTTCTTGTAAAAAATGTAAATACTGAGAGCATGTTATTTTGATTCTTACACTCTAAAATGTAATTTGTTGGTTCTAAAACTTTCAATAATATAATAAAATATTTCGTAATACGTCAACATGATGTTAAATGTTAACCCCATATCAAGGGCTTTAAACAAAATAGATAGAATGTTTCAATCCTACCTCAAGTAAGTAAAGAAATCTTGAGAAGTTTATAAGCTGGTGCTACATATATTTAAATCTTTTGAGAGAGAATAAACATTTTAAAATAAATAAGTAACTTGAGAAATTTATAAATGTAGATACTGTATATCTCAATAGGATAACACTTTTGAAGAGAGAGTAATTGCTTGCAACACTACTCGCAACATGTGGATGTGTGTAAACAATGTTTTGGTATCTAATTGATTAGGATAAATTTTGGTTTGTGGGTATTTTTTGGATTCAAACTAATTTTTTTAGGATATTTGCACCATGGTAACTCAAGAGCAGAGTTTTGGTTGGTTTGGAGCTTAGGAAGAAGAAAGTGCTACTTTGGTGAAAAAAATGGTTTGTGTAGTTTTCACTTTACTTTTCACTATTTATATTTGTGCATTATTTTTATTAAGGAAAAAAGGTGACAAGAAGGAATTAGAAGTAATTAATAAGTTGAACAATTAATTATTACAATTATTAGGGTATTTTTCTTCCATTTTACAGTCCCTTTATAGATGGAACAAAAACTTAACACATTGCTTGCTCTTCCCCTTTCTCCTTTTTCCTATCAAGTTTTAAATGTTCAAGAAAATAGGCAAAAAATGGTTGCTCGCATTTCACTTTCTATATGAATCAATCTATTTTCTATTATATTTCTTATCCTACAACACCAAATGTTCACCATAACCAACAAAAAGTCTGCAAGTTGTAGCCAAAACGACTCCACAAACAAATTTTAATTTGCTTACTGGTTTCTAGGTACTCATTACTGAATTGAAGGGCATGGACAGCAGGAACAAAGAGCTTTCACCTGAGCAACTTAATTCTTTGGCAGAAAATTTAAATACAATGGGCAAAGTGGCTATACTATCTTAATTCAGCATTAGATACTGACGCTCTAAGATACCATTCATGCAATAATATTAAACTGCAAAAAGAAAGAAGAGACTATAAAAGAAGGAAAGAATGGGTAGCCATGAGCAGACTTTGATGCACCAATAAAATGAATCTGGTTCGGATTTCCAAACTGAAACACAATGTTCATCTCTCGACAAATAAGTAGATTCTGAAAGAATGACCAGGTGGGCTACTGGCAAAGCACCAACTCAGTTGATTTCCAATGACATAATAGTGAAAGAAGTCCATGGATGAAACAATTAAGTGTTAAAGGAAGGGGAAATAAGAAGGGAAGGGCATGAAGCTCCACCCAATCAAAATAGATATTGTTGATATAATTATAAAATTTCGCTGTCCCATTCAGTGCCTGACATTGTCAATCTCCCTAATTAGTCAACATCTATCTGTAAATAAATTTAGCATTATACCATATATAAACTTAGTTTTGTTAAATTTTCACTTAGGCTTTACTTGGTAGGGTGGAAAAATGGGAAGAAGGAAAGGTGGGCGGAAAAGTAAAAAGAAAATGATTTTCAGTACTGCCTGGTAAGAGAGAAAAGTGAGGGGAAAGAAAATAGAAGAGATTACGATTTTCTATCCTTAATTCACAAAAGAAATTCATTCCAAATTGAAAAGATGGGAGAACACCAAATGGGAAAAGTATGAGTCAAAGTGTAGCATATTTACAAGATTGTTCATCATTATTTTAGATTTTACCTTTTCATCTCAACTTACAAAGGGTACAATGGTAAAATAATATGATTTTTAACTTCTCTATCTTTCCTACCAAGCATTACAATGGATACAAAAACATGTTTTCTATTTTTTCAATTTTCTCCTCTAGTTTTTCATGTTTTCATTTTTTTCTATCTACCCTACCAAGCAAAACCTTAATGTTTAAGTATTGGAATAGATTCAAGACTTTGACCTAACACAGTATGCCATCAGCTCCAAATAGGTTCACATAGAACAGAATAAAAGCGCTGAATAATCTGAATTCTAAAAGGACAAAGTAAGCTCCAATAGATAGACCACTAATTGTTTCATACTGAACTCTGAACAAAATGGTCCTAGAACACACAAATAATACTCTTGCTTCCCATACCAGGATTGAGCACAGAAATGTAAAAAGAGATTTACTTTACGGATGCATGCATGCATAATACACTCATGGCCCTGTGTGTACGCAAGCAGAGACAAGATGCATAAAATCATCTTAGTGTCCATATAGGACTATATATACATTGTAGAAACTGAAAACACAAGGGGTGCGTACAAGGAATGAAATTCTTTTCCCTTCATTGTTGACACAGCCTCAGAAATTTAAACCTCTTCCAGTTGACCAATTTTACAGAAACTTTCATTCTAACAGCTCACACCGTATTCTTCCTTGCACAATTTTTGTTTTGCTGTAAACCCAAGCTTGGCACTAGACTTGCTATTACCATGTACCATACCATCTCTATTGATACTTTTAGATATAGAATGAACTCATTCAAGAACTTGATGTATGCTGTTAAACCTACTTCTCAGTTAGCTGTAAGTTCATTTTACATCATCTATCTCACCAGTTCCTCATAATGTTGGACCATAAATGAATGAATGGAATCAACATAAATGTATCAGGTTTTCTACAACCCTCTGATCAATTAAAGCATTTTCAGTCTCCAATAATTCCAATTCCTATTTAAGTAGTCCACAGCAAGTAGGTTATCATTCTCCATTCACTAAACCCGTCATACCTTTGTCATCCACTCAAAAAATTGAAAAGCATTTCTCTTTGTTACAAGATGCAGAAAAGGGGCAGGCACACCCACTAAATCTGCTTCAGCATTAAAAACAGAGGCAACCGTTAACATATAGGACTATCATGAAGCAGCATATTGATTCATATTATAGGCAATGAAAGAATTTTCAATTCTAAGGGGAAAAGTAAATAAGGTGATTGTTGTGTGTATATGTGTGACAGAAGACGATATGCATACGCATCCGGACAAAGGTATCAATGAAATCACATAGACATTGGTGATTATTTCCATTTATTAATATGATAAAGAAAATTTTCCTTGTCAACCAGTGCACAAAGCAATTTGAGCTCAAAAGGAATCACTACTGTCAACATAAAAATATTGCCCTCAAAGGCCAAAAGGCTATCTACTTGCTCCCAAGATAAGTTTTTATGACATCTAGGAGGATCATACTGCTTCAGATTTGCAAAGGAAACAAGACAAATCTGGCTTTTTTGGAGCAAAATTTGGACAAAGAATAAGAAAAGTTGTCAAGTTTACAAATTATAACAACTTCTCATGTATATAGTTATAAAAACTATTGAAGAAAAATAATTCAGATCTCACCAGTTACAACAGTGGGAAAACTGAGATGCTGAAGTCTCAACTCATCACAGCTGAAGAAGTGTTAAAGGAGTGGTACATTTGAGAATAACTCAGGCACAATTGACGGTCTCTGGCATCCCCCCAGCCACCCCAACCCTTGAACCCTGCTTTATACCCTGGTTGATTGTGATAGACACGCACATCCCATTCTGATCCAATACTAGCAACTTTATCAATTTCATCTACTTGAATGTTCACTGATCCATTGTCTATGCAAGCATTACTCTGGCCTTGGCCCTGATGTAAACCACACTTCCCAAAGTGAACTGCACTAGTCCTTGGACCTCGTAATGTGTACACTGGACTGCCAAATGAAGGATAAACTGTTGCCCACATTGTTATATCCCAGTTGTAATCGTCAAAGAAGCAAAACTCTTTAGCCTTCCTATGGATTTTTCTCCAGACAGTCCGGTTAAAGGAATAACCCACATTTCCCATTCTCTCTGCAACCAAACTATCCCATCCTTCTCCTCTTGAATTCACGTCACAAGGTGCCAGATTTGCAGCATAGCAATCTGGGCATTTGTTAGGCTTCAAAGATACAAGAAGCTGTAAGTTGCGATATGCATTGGGATAAATAAAGTGATCCTCTTCTATGAAAAGAATATGTCCATCATGCCCTCTGGTCTCCTTCAATCCATCCCACACAGTGTTCATCATCCACCACCAATGATGCTTCAAAGAAACTATCTTCGGAGATCGGTGGTTTCCATACTGATCAGGATTCCCAATACAATGTTTCTTCTCTGCATCATCCTTTTCCATACAGTCATTTGATGACACACCAGGAAAACTGTCAGTGAACACATGTGGCGAATAAGGGGCAAATATCTGTTTCACTTGGCAAAATTTGATCCCTTCCACGATCTTATTCATTTCTTCGAAGTAACCATCATGGCTAACTATCAATAAAGTTTCACTTATCCCCACAACCTTGGACAAGCTCTTAACAACTACTTGGAGATATTGTGGCCGATTATGCACGTATAAAACAATGGTTATATGATCTTTAGCTAACTTTGGATATAGATCTACATTCCTAGGGGGCAACCGGTTTCGTTTTTCCAATTGAATTGAAAATTCATTCTGCTGAGGAAGGTTGAGTTTTCCACTAACGCTCTGAATATCATCACTTCCACTTAAATCTTCATCGAATCCATTAGAAGCTGGGTTAATATTGGTCCTAAGAGAAACTATTAAAAGTGAAACCCCTAATAAAGTAACTAAAACTACAGACAGCAAACGTTTAAAAGCCGCATCCTTCAAACGGGGTTTCTTATAATTAGCCATAGAGCAAACAACAGACAGCATCCAGCAACTTCCAAGTCAAAGTTGCTGTCTCCAAAGAAGTATAAGAAAAGCCCAAAAAAAAAAACAAAACAAGTTTACATTCATAGACAATCAAACAGCAAAAAATAACAGCAACCCATTTTAGAAGAAGGTGAACAAGTGAAAGGGTAAGAGCCAAAAACCTCGAAAAACAATTCTTCAACACTGAGCCATCCCCTTGCCGAAACTGGAATCAATGGCTTTAGCGGTTAAAAAGAAACCGCAAAGCCCATGAAAATGGAGATCAAAGTTTAGATAAGAGGGAAGTGAAGAGATCAAAAAAAGGAAGAGAAGAGATTAATAAAATAGGGAATAGGTAGTAGCAGCCAAAAATCAGAAAGACCAACGGTGCATATGACTTGGTTGACGGGTTTAAACTGGGAAAGGTTAGGGGCAGTACGTGTACAAGGAGGAAATTGACTTGGCTGAAGACGGAAAGTTCAAAGAGAAACGCGTTAAAATGCAGGCTTAATAAATAGTAGTACAGTTATTGTACAAGTTTGGCCAGAAAATGGGAAAATGAATTAATTAAACTTTTAAGTTAGTCAATTAACAGAATTAATTTCCATTTTTAAGTGGTGGAAGAATTGCTCAGATTAGTCAAGTCACAAAATAAGTTAATTTTGATATGCTTTCTCCTTTAATGACTCATCCTATTTATTTGACCATTTTTGTTCCAAATATTTGTTCTCTCTAAATATGGCATGTAGTTATTAAATCAATTCAGCGACCAAGCCTACAAATTTAGAAAATATTTCACTCACTTCTTTTTATTACAATCTTGTAATTATCCAATTACATCAAAAAAAAATTAGATATAATACTCAAGTAAATCTCTGCACTATTTAAAAAAATTCAAATAAATTTTTATTTTTTATTACATTCAATTAAGTTCTTATAAATTTATTTTGAATTAAATAAACTTTTATTACTAATGATTAATTAATTATCATTAATTAAAATGCTCATTGTCATTTTATATTCATATGATATTGTTATGATTTTGATGTGAAAAAGTAAAAAATATCATAAAGTCATGTTATCATATCAAATTAACATGTTATGTTATCATCAATTATAATATATCAATATGTCACATTATCGTCAATTATAATATGTTAACATGCTACATCAGTGTCACATGATATAAAATAACAAATAACATTTTAACTAAGTTAATTATTAATTATAAAAACTTATTTGACTCAAAATAAAATTTCAAAAGTTTATTTGATTTAAAATAAAAATACAAAAGGCTTAATTCAATATAATAAAAGAAGAAGAGTTTATTTGAATTTTTTCAAATAATTTAAAAGTTTTTTTGAATATTATGACAAAAAATTATGTAGGAGTTCACCATTTATAAATTTGAGCTTTATATAGCATTTTAGTAAAAAAATTATGAAAGATCATTTTTTAAAATAGCAATTTAAAGAACCTAAAAAGTAACACTATCCATTAACTATAACCATTTTTCATATTCCAATTTTCTGATGGATTATCCTAGTATTTAAAATATAGATAAGATAATATCTTGATAAAAAGGATTTCGAAATTAATATCTTGTCTTTTTTTAAAAAGAAAAATATTGACATAATATTTAAATAAGTCTTTAAACTATTCAATGAAATTTAAATAAATCTTTATTTTTTTATTGCATTCAATAAGGTTTTTATATTTTTATTTTGAATTAAATAAGTTTTTATAATTAATGATTAAGTAATTATCCTTACTGAAAATATCACTTATTATTTTATATCCATATGGTATTGACATGTCATTGATGTAGGGATAAAAAATATTAACACATCAAGTTAGTATCATGCGACATAAAATATAAATGATATTTTAACTAAATCAATCATTAGTTATTAGGGTTTATTTGATTCAAAATAAAATTACAAGAATTTATTTGATTCAAAATAAAAATATAAAAATTTAATTGAATGCAATAAAAATATAAAAGCTTTTTTAAATTTTCTGAAATATTCTAGCGGCTTTTTTAGATATTATATAAAAAATATTTGACTTCTTTTTACATTGGGTGGGAAAACTATTTTAAATGGCATTTTCACACAGATCATCATGGTATTTAAAATGTAGATACTTGGTTCCATCTTCTTGTCCTTACCAACAAGTTTCGAGCTTTTCATATTGTCCATGAAACACAGAATTTCTTGAATATTCTCTTTGTCAATTTAATCACATAAAAATTCATTGAATTTTTTTTAAATATTACGTCAAATCTAATATCAAAGAATTAAGCTTAACAGATTAGTTTAAAGTTGAAGATAGTAAATATCCAAGATAAAACATAATCCTAATAAAAGTGATGGCTATACAAAATCTAATAGTAAGAGATAAGTTTGAAGTTGATGACAGAATACATGTAGCATTAAAGAGTTGGGTGGATTAGCAGTCCCATCCTTGATGTCGCAAGACCTGGACTTCCATTTTTGCTTGATTCATTTATCATCGGGATATATGTACACCATCATGTTCTTTTGTTCAATGAACTCCCAAATACAACCCTCAGTAATATTGACTTACAGTTATCAATCACAATTATCTTAAATACAAAGAACTCGACAGAGGTAATACATATTTTAAAAATCAATAAGTTGGTTGTATAAATATATATATATATATATATATATATTATGTAAGTATAATATTATGTTTCTCATTTATGAAGTGAGTAGTAAAATATATGAATTAATATGCGAATACTTGTTACATGAACAAGTTCATTAAACATCCAAAACAATATTCGAGAAGATTTAAGGAGTATCTCACGAACCCCTTGATAATGGTGCTACCTCTTTGGAGGAAGCCACTTATCTTATATTTGACAATATGCGAGAAATCTTTGAGATGTGTGTTGGGGCAACTTGATGATACAAGCAAGAAAGGGACCGCCATTGTCATCTATTGGTTGAGAAAGAAATTCACCACTTATAAGTCCAATCACTTGTAAAACTTACTCTTAATGGAAGAAGAAAACGATAGATAAAAGGAGGAGAAGTACAAATGAGCATTGATATGGAGTTGGAGATAAAAAAATTTTATTTATTTATTTTTTTTTTAAAAAAAATTAATATTTAATTTTAAATTTTTAAAAATTTTAAATTTAGTTTTAATGATGTGATATCATTTGATGGCTCAATAGTATTTAAAATTTATAAATTATCAAAATATCAAATATAAATGCTTTTTTTAATGCTACAACTTGAGGATTTTTGGTGGTTAGGAGGTAAGCAAGCCCATGGTTCCGCTATGCCTATGACAACCAACAAAGGCAGTTGGTGTTTTATGCATTTAGCTGTCGTACCAACCGGTTATGCTTATCAATCATGAAAGAACATGGTGACCAACCCAAATTGATTTAGTTTTAAGTTTAATCAACTGACCCATGTATCTTCGTTTTTACTTTGGTTGGGAGGTATACATGGGATGGGATGGGATGGGATCCCACATTCTAGTGGTTTTGCTAAGTGAAGTGGACTGGGCGTACTCCATTGGCCCTATTAAGACTAAAGATGCACTTGTGCTTCTTTGGTTAATGAATTTATTATGTTATTCAATCAGTCTCATTTGTTTATTTATATTTCCCTTTTTAGGCTATCTCAAAAAATTATATTCTCTTTTTTGTAACACATATTTTTTTTTACATTTTTATGTTTTAAAATATTTATCATGATGTGTTTTTTTTTCTTTTTAGCATTAAAAATTATAGAATATATATCAGTTGTATAAAAACATTTTAAAATTTCAATACTAAATACACCCAAATCAAAGTTTTTTTGTTAAAAAAATAAAAATAATATATTTATGTCAAAATAACCTATGATTTGCTTACTTACCTTATGTTCATTTTACTACTAGTATTCAACATGGGATGCCTTTGACAAATTTGGCTTAAGCTTCCTCAATAGTGAAACGAGCTCTTGTTCCCTGGTCAATAATTCTAGATGTTTTTTTACTAAATATTTAATTTGGAGTCAAATTTCTTGAGTTTTTGTCAATTTAAGATTAATCGTTTCAATTGTAATTGTTGGTATAAGCCTTGCAAGACAATCGGTTCAATGCTTGTAAAACACTCTACTAATTAGTCATATTTCATGTTAAATACATTATGTATATTTTATATAATGTATGGGGCATTTCTTTATCTATGAGTTTATTTATAAAAAAATATGAAAGACTTAAGTAGATAAAGTCCTTGGAACATAATGATCTTATAAATAAATTATAAGGGTTATAATTATGAGATTTTTATGCATCATAGTTTTGTTCTTAAATATGTTCCTAAGCATTATATATTTAAGAATAAAGGTATTGACAATGCTCCAAGACTGGTACATGCTAAGCCTTCTTACTTTGGAAGTAAGTAACCGATCTCTTGGTTAAAATATGTGAGATACTTGGAATAGTATGTAGGTACTTGTTAAAGAACAAGTTCATTGAACATGACTCGTTATGAGAGTTTCATTTGATATTTTATTCAAGTGTTTTATGCATCAGTAGTGTAAATAATCGTTAAACTTGTGATATCAGGTCATCTTGTATGTGAATTCTTATGTTTTGATTTCACTTTTATGGGTCTGGAGGTGACTAAATGTTTAAATAGGGTGCTTTTAAGTATGGCATGAAGCATGCGAATATGAACAAGTAGTCCAGAAAGGATTTATTAACCTAAGTGATTTGAAAGGCACATCTCTCGCTCACTTCTAGCTTATATAGATAAAGTCCTTGACCAAGTCAATTTTGATAGGTCAATATGAAGCTTTAAGACTAATATGAGATGTCATAAGTAGACACCGTATTATGCTTCATGACATATCTTAGATATTTGATGAAAGGATTGAATTACACTAAGATACTATACACTAAAATGCTAGTCAAACTATATTGACTTTTCTGATATTTAGGTAGTCATGATGTGTTGCTAGATGCAGCTCATGATTTATAAATATAAGCAATTGGATTAATTTGTATTTATTGTTAATATGTTGGAGGCCTAATGAGTCACATAGAATACAGTGATAATGTGAAATTAAAATGGGATTTGTGCTCAATTGAAAATTTAAAATTTCCAATATGGACTTAATTAAATGATTTAATTAAGTCCAGAGGTTAAATTGTAATTAATTAAAAGTTAGATTAACAATTTGACCTAACTATAAAAGTTAAATGTGGATGCTGCATCATATGAGAAGAATTTTAGGTGACAAAGATTTGATAGAAAATAAAAAAAGCTCCCTAAGCCAAAAAAATATTTTTTTTATATGAGTTCCAAGAATCGTTTTTCTTTGTCATCTTTTCTAGCAAACCAATTCTTTGAAAAGTGAGATTTATGAAATCTTAGCCACTAGCATCACTTCACAACATACATATAAAATCCCTACCTTGAAAAAAGCTTTCATTTGTCACCTGTGTAGATCGCAATTAGAGGTTGAACATATGGACATATTTAGTTTGTGACAACCAAGCTTTAGTGTGTAATTAAGAAAATGGGTCATGACTTGTGATTTATTGAAATCACTACTAAATGTATGATTTTGATCATTTACTTATATGCATGAATGTTAATTCGATCAAATGCCAAAACAAGTGATCTTATGGAGGTTTCGGTTTTTTATGTTTATTTTTATTGCGTTATTTAATTTTAATTGTTAATTTTTGAATTTCATTATTTTCTTTGAGTATGGTCGAAATCTAGGAGTAACAATTAATGGCAAACGTTTTTGGTTTCTTGTAATTAAGTCTTAAGATGAGAAGTGTTTGACACATGTAAAATATGCGCATGATGTGGATGCTAACTTTTCGTGTAAGATACTAAAGGGTAGTTTTGTTAAAAAGTTTTTTTTTGTCAAGTTAAAACGATTTAAATAATAACATTGCGTGTAACAATTAAATTTTTCATCATGATGGCGTGTAATAACTAAATCTTTAGCATAGTATGTATCAACTATATTTTTCAACATGTGTGCAATAATTAAATTTTCAACATAACGTGTAATAACTATATTTAATAACTAAATTTTCAATATGGCATATAATAACTAAATCTTCAATATAATGTCTAATAACTTTACTTTTCAACATGCATGTAATAATCAAATTTTCAATATGGTGTGTAACAATTATATTTTCAACATAGCATGTAACAATTATTTCAAACATGGTGTATAATAACTAAATTTTAAAATATGGTGTATAATACTATATTTTTCAATATGACGTTTACAATATTTTTTTCACAAAAATGTTGTATAATATTTCCCAACGTGCCTCATCATTAGATCACGTAATTTTTTGTTACATATGATATATATTTCATTCATATGTCAATTTAACCCTTAATTGTAAAAAATAAAAATATATTTGATCCTTAATTATTACGATTGAAATGTTTGACTTTTAATTAAAAAAGTATCCAAACATTTAATCCTAATTTGATTATTTAGCTTATGTTTTTCAACCTTGTTTCCTGTGATATCTAAGTTGGACTGCACTTGAATGATACTTCCTAGTATTAAGTCTGGTGATGGAAAAGCCACATAGGTACAAGAGTGAGACTGAGAGAGAAATGGGCCACCTTGGCATCATAGAAGTCATAGGTTGGTTAAGATAAGGTTAGTGTCCGGCTTTCCAAATATCAACCGCCACCGCATCGATATCCAAAACCATCGGCTTATATGTGATTGTCAAGGAATGGGCAAACGGAGCAGATAATTCTTCTGAAAATGGCAGCCAAAGTGGCTCTCTCTTCTTGTCTCAGAACCCAGATTCCTGTCTTCCCCAAATCTTCATCACCACCATCAGCTTGCCCTTGTGCTCTTGGTTCACAAAAGACAAGGGTCCATCAATTCAAAGTACATGCAAACTTAGGTAAGATACATTTTCTTTGAATTTCATTCAACATATTTAAAATGCCTATATGTATATTTATTGTTTGCTTGGTTGAATATTCTATCAAAACATGACAGAAATGATAACTGGGGAGAAGTGGTTTTGATTTGTTAGGGGAAGGAGAAGGAGAACTCAAGCCAAAAGGAAAGAGGAAATTTATAACAAGAGAAGAAGAACCAGAACAGTGAGCATTCTACTCTCTCACTTTGCTTCAGTATAATTTCAGATATTCTTTTTTCAGTGATTTGACATCCTGTTTGGCTTCATCATTATTTGCTATAGATAGCAATTCAAGTCCCAATTTCCAAACGATTGACTACCAGAAGGGGTTTACTGAATGCAGGTATTGGCAAACTGCAGGAGAAAGGGAAGGAGAGAATCCCATGATGACCCCTCTTCCTTACATTATCATATTTGGCATGTCAACACCCTTTGTAATCTTAGCCATTGCTTTTGCTAATGGCTGGATCAAGGTACCTGTTCGATGAACTTTGCCTTTGCAATGCAGTGAGAATGAGAGACTGGGTCTTCCATGGTGGTGATTCACTCGATAGACATCTTCAATTCAGCCTTCTCAGCTTTCAACATCTAAGCATTAAGCATATGTTGTGAACACACTTGCTTTGAGTATTTATGATGTTAGTTTTTCAGGCAAAAATAAATATAAAAAGGTCTTTCTACAATCATTCGTCAGAATGAATGAACTGTACCAAACACACAGGATGGAAATATCAATGCGATATAGCTTCCTTCGTTGCCAAAACAAGATCTGAGTAAATTCCTACTAGTGTTTGTGAATCAGTTTTAGGGAACTTAGTAATCACTCATTTTTGTCCAATAGAGAGTTGCTAGGGCCTGCCTGTATGGGCATGGCACATTGCTTGCGAGATCTTATGGGTTGGAAGACAAATCCTTGCCTCCAGGTGAAACTGGTGCAGGTTCTGCTCATATTTTTGAGGCTTTGGGTCTATTGGGTTCAAGTTGAAATCTACAGTGATTCGGATTGGGTTGGATGACTTTCTAAGTTGGGTGATTGGAATGTTGTCAAATTCTGCCATTGCTTAAGATGGCAATCAAGTTTAAATTCAAATTACGTTTAAGTCATCTTGAGTTTGCATTGTTCCAAATTTCATTATCAAATCAGATTCCATTTGTTAACGTTTTGAATACATTCAAGTGATATTGTGTCCTGCTTCAAGCAAATTGGAGCTGCTTTTGCCACATTTAGCTTCTGCAAGTATGAGGTACCCGCTATGAAACTAAAGCAATCTTTTGTGTACATTCCAAAACCCAATACAAAATTGGAAACTCGGCATTGAAAGGTTCGAAGTAGAAGTGAACACCATGTGCAAAAGTCATAGCAACTGAAGAGCATGTTCATATGCCATATAAACTTACTTATCCTATGCTAAATGTTTTCTTATCCTACTGTATACTTTTAACATTTTCCTTTTAATCGTGTCAACAATATCAGTATTAAAATATATATTAAGATATAACGATTTAATTTACCTACGCAAGGACTTGTATAGTACCACAGTCACATATTTTTGAAGAAATCGATGTGTTGAGCAAAGAGCCACAGACTGACCATCATCACCATCTTGCTCATAAAGATGATTCAGCATCGTATGAGAAGGCCTTGGCAAGGACTTGCGACTTCTAATGATGAATCTTCGCTCATCTATTAAAGTTGTCTGGAGCTGTGGAGGCAGTTCGGGCGGAGGTCTGCTGAAATCACCATCATTTAGTGGTTGATTGTCATAGCTTGATATCGGGGAAGGAGGAGATTCGAACTCTGAGAGGCTTTCAGGAGCTTCTGGAACAAACTCCTGTACACAACACACCATGAGTGAAGCTGGGTGTGAAAGAACAGAGAACCAAGGGCCGGTCTGATTTTCAATGTTGACATTCAAGCAAGAAATTAAGTTGTACATCAAAATATCGCTGCACTATATCTATTAACAAATCAAAATTGCTCTATTTAAAATACAGCTATGATTGTAGTCAGTAATGCAGAATAAACAGCAGAATGCTGGGTAAACAGAACTTAGATGAACAACTACAAAACTCGTTTGCTTGTTTGATATTTTCCAGGTCTTGCTGCACGAATAGATATCATCAAACGTTTTAAAATGAAGTAGTGGCTTCTATGACATTGCGTATGTCCACTTTCCATGATGAATTATGTATATATGACTTCATGCTGCAACAAGCAATACTTCCCTAAAGTATTTACAGCCATATAAGCCAGACTTTGATATGACGAATAGCTCTATGGAGAATATGTGAACAGTCAACTACCTAGTTCACAAAGCTGTTGAGATAGCGACAGAGATGCCATGAGCTCTGTCAAATCATAATAATTTGGTATGAAGCCTTAGCAATTGCAAGCAACATAGACAGGCTAATATCATTAAGATTGTAAGTGCAGATTTATCCAACCCTTGAAAAACAGCAAACATTACAGCATGTATATGCCGCAATAAACATTACAGACGCAACTGCGTTTTTCCTTCCTTTTATACTGCCTTCTTGGGAACCAGAGATCATTAATTCATCTTGTCCAATCAATTAAGGTCTCAAGCCATTGATGCAGCAAAAGAGGAAGAGCAGCAGCTGGTGGCTAAACCAAGAAACAAAAAGCTGCATGGTTCAATGGTTTGGTATGTTACTAAAGGGCTGTGTCTTATATGTAGCTTGGGTTCAGTCTGTTTGCATCAGAACTGGAGATATAAGAAGCAAAAGGGAAAAGGCGGTCAAATGTGTCTCATAGCATTGCGTGAATTCATTATTGTTGAGGAGCATAAAACTGGCAAATAGCTGCTACAAATTAATTTTTTTTGTTTTTTCCCCACATACCAACAACATACACATATCTAGCTTTTGGGTATTTAACAAGCTACACATCCAGGACATGCCAATCCTTTGCCTGCACTAAGCTGCAAATAAATTTTAATGCACAGGTGACATAAAAATCAGATGCTTAAATTCCTGTCATGCTAGCTTATTTAGATACTATTGTTCGTCTCCCTTACAATGGGGAGTACAAGTCAACTGTAGGCATTCTTTCTCATCTATAAAACAGGGATCTTCCTTAAATACAGCTTGAATGCCAGATAATTTTTCACACATAATTCAGGTGATATGGAAACATCAACATCCTTATGCTTCAAAGCTATGTTGATATCATAAGGAAAGCCATAGTTTTTGCTGCTCTATGAATTTCAAATTTAAATCAGCATACTTTCCCAATATGCAAAATATTTCCAATATAAGTTGGTGACAGCACAGAAACAGGTTAACTATATTGCTTCCACCATGCTTTCTTCCATACTTTATTTTTAGCAAAAGGGATTGGTCCAGGAAAGTGGGGAAAAAAGGAAGTAAATGAAAAGATCTGTTAAAGAGTAAAAATCATAATGCTTGACTATTTGTATTGGTGTAACAGTCAACAAAGAAGCTTTAATATACCTGCAAATCCAAAACGTTATAAGCACTTCCAGACTCATTAAATTCCCATGGTAAGTTTGGAGCATATCTAATCAGCTCATCAACAATGAAGTGGTAGTGGTAGACACCTGATGGGAGCATCTTCATGATAATGAAATCTTTACCCAAAGAGTGCAAGGGTTCTCTGAAAGGAAGAAATAAAAGTTCTGCATTTTAGATTGTGAAAAGAAAACTGCTTAACCTAGAGAATGAAACTTTAGAGATAAACACCATAACAGATTCCAGTACCTGGTCTTCCAATTGTCCCATGACCCAGTAATAGCTACTCTCTTGCCACCAAAGCACCATGTTATCATCACTGCTCTCTTCTCCTCTTGGAGATCCTCATAATATGATGTATTTTGTACCGGTTGATCATTTTGGACTTGCATCATTTGACCAGGTCTTGGCAAGGGAGCATCAGAGATCTGGAGAAAGAAATGCAACTCAATTGTATCTCCATGAGTGTGTGTCCTCACATGCACCAAAATATATAATAGACAATAGAAAACCTTAATAAGCAAGCACTTTTCCATATGTTGAACAGATATTAAAAATGATTTTGATTCCCTTTAAGCATAATATGCAGAAACGCTAAATCCCAATAGAGATGCTCTATCCCCTTCAAACATTATTTTGACTATAAAGCATGTATCCCATCAACATTCACTACCTTTCACATACAACTGTATGCTCTCAGGGAACACTGTCTAAAGTTTAAAGTAACTCCAGCTAAAATGGATATATTACTGACATAAAGATAGTGGAGATAAATTCCATTAGCTTGAACAGGTGACCAGATTATTATACAAAAATGAAAAAAGCCATGACAAAAGAGTTCACAAAGATTGTTACTTTTCAAGCATACAGCCAATCTAAAGAGGAATATACATTTCGGTAAGGGTAGAATTAAACTATGCAAATGTTTTTAAAGATTGTTACTTTTTTCAAGCATACAGCAAATCTAAAGAGGAATATACGTTTCAGTAAGGCTAGAATTAACTGTGCACATGCTTTTAAAGGCAATGGACTGTTGGTTTTGCAACAATAGAATATTACTTTAAAGTTTAGCCCTTTACCACAGAAAAGTATACAGCAACAAGCATCATTAGCAACACCTGAAAAGGCAAATGAAAGGATATCCTAGAAAATGAAAAATAAAATATTCCATCTACTCCAAGGTACTATTAAGATGATAAAGAACAAAGACATATAGCCTATTCCTTCGAAGCAAATTAGAAAATAGAAATGCAAACCATAAAACGGGCTGCAAATATGAGACCCTGCAAAAATGACAGATAATAGTAGTAAGACCAAAGGTTTCCTTACAATTCTAACTGGTAACCATGGAAAATTAATTTGTCATGTCCTATAATGATTAAAATGGTAGGCTTGTACAAAATCAATTCATTAGTTTCTTTTTCATTTTAAAATGGAAACCTACCAGATTAAAGTGTTCAGCCAATGAAGAGCAATGTTGCAAATGGCTTGGTGTCAGTCTATTTGCAACAGCAGCACAAATTCTCAAGGAGATAGTAGGAGCAACATGGAAAAGGATGTAAAAAAATTGTTTTTTCTGGTCAAAATATCTATTCATCCTAGAATCTCATTCTTAGCCAGGTTCCACTGGCTCAGAGAATCCAATCACTGCCTTCAACTCCCCTAGTGTTCATGTGTTATCCTTGAGTGGTAGGTAACAGGTTCATCTTGTCTTTCCTACTGCCTTCTCAGCAACCATAGATGATAAATTTATCCTTTTTGTTAATGAGTAAAGAGGCAGGCAGCCAAATTAAAAGAGGACAAACGTAGAAAAGAAAAGACAAAAGCTTTAAATAACTGTTTTGGCAAGTAAGAGGATGCATGGCATATTACAGCAAGGTTCCAGTCTATCTGCAATAATAGAATATAGTTTAGTTTAAGCAGAGTGAAAAGGGCAGTAAAAGTTGCAATGATTCTGTACTGAGCTACTAATTCATCCCAGATTCTCATTTTTCTTCTTGACCCAACAAATTCAGAGCTTTCAGCCACCACACTTGAATAATTCTAATATTAGAATTTTGTGAGTTATCTATTTCTAGCTAGCCTTGCATTTTCATGAATTATCCTTTCGTTGAAATTCAGGAATGCCATCAATTGTCTTATTTTATGCTATTTTGTTTGTTTCTTTGTTTGTTACACCAAAGATAACACATATGTACTATGTGGTTGTTTGACATGTTCCAGCTCTTGGCACATGGAGATCCTTCACATGCACTGATCTCAAATGTAAATCTAACACGTAAGTTCATAAAAAGGGGTTTTTATATGGCTTGTGCTACCTATTTTATAATTTGTACTATTTAGCTGCAACTTAGATAACAAGTATTTGCTTCAAAAAAAGGGTCAAATGTCTTAGAAGCTAGTTGTGCACTACAAACATGACAGTTCACCAGCAAACCTAAGTTATTCTCAGAATCCCTTTTCTAACTATGTTACATGTATGCTCCCAAAGATA